AAATACGGACGTCCTGAGGACATCCTATTTCGGAAGTCTGTGGACGGTCAAATACGGACGTCCTGAGGACATCTGAAACAGTCTATTTCGGAAGTCTGTGGACGTACTACGAACGTACTTTTGCAGACCCCGGACATCCTGAGGACGTTCGGGTTGTCCTGGGTGGAAGTCCTACGAACGTCCTACGAACGTACTTGTGCTATCTGGGTTTACTTTCATGAAACTGCAGCAGTTAATCAAATTACTGACGCTTACACAGTACCGCCCTTTATTTATGGAACCCGCCAAAATAATCAAAGGATTGAGTCATGGTGGTCCATCTTGAGAAAACATTGTGGTCAATACTGGATGAATTTGTTTTCCCGGTTAAAAGATGATGGGCTATTTACTGGAAACATTGTAGATAAATCAATATTGCAATTTTGTTTTATGGATATTATTCAAGTAAGTTTAGTCCCAAAACTAGAGATTATTATCTCTATACCCAAACGGCACGACATATTTCTGACATATTTCAATTATAACAACATTATATATATTTCAACATTTCCGTAATATTACATGCCAAGTGGGTATTTACATTAATGCAATTTTTAGGAGGAATTAAATAACGTTGTCCTAGATATGCATTTGATCAGAAAAAATCGACACAGCAACTACCCCTCAGGACGTCCAGATGTTATCTTCAATTTTCCACAGATACATAATTCTAGAGACCACCTTATAGTAGTAGAAGAAGAGCATTTGCAGATTTGTGAAGAAGAATGTGTCTTTTTAGACTGCCCTTGTAGTAACAATGACGTACACGATTTGTGTAAAATTGTTTTAGATGAGCTTGGTAGTGACAAGCCTACTGATCCATTTTATGCGCTAAACCTTTACAAAGAACTACGTGATGAAATTTTGACACTACTGTAGATTATTTACGTTTACATTAATAAATAAAAAACGAATTAACATTGGTCTATTTATTTAAACGAACATAAACAAAAATATATAAAATTTGGAAACTAAAAAAATTATTTCTACAAAACAACGTTTTATAAAATACTTAAAAAAACAGACAAAGATATAAAATAAAATTATTTATGAACAAAAAGAAAGATTATTATTATGAAAGGATATTTTTTATTTTAGGCAAAACCGAAGCTTTTGCAGTTTGCAATTCCAAAATTCATGTTGGCCTTGAAATCCTCTTAACTTCCATGACAAGTTGGTAACTTAAATTCAAGGGCACATGTATTTGCCATGGGATATTTATATGCCGTTGTAGTTTCATTATGTAAAAATAGTATTTTTGGTATTTGCGGAAACCCCAAAGGTGGAACAACATCAGCCCCAGTACCGAATACTAAAATATCGGTTAAACTGACAGAAGTCTCGATGTCCTCATCAACGATCCGCTCAGGATCATTTAAATCCATTAGGTTTTCTAAAATTGTATAAAAAATAGATAAATTATCGTTTTAATATTACTATTACCAAGCTTTAGCAACCTACCCTCACAGTCGACCAGGTAGTCCCTGAAGTAAGACACTGCTCGATTTTCTAACAAACGTTTATTGGAACCCATTGGACTATATTTGATTACAAAAATATTTTCCAAATCATCCGCAGTTAACTGTAATTTCTCTTCGCAGAATAAATATTGGAATAAATGTGGATAAAGTCTAATGAAGGTATTCATAAATATTGCAAGTCTTTAATCCTTCGATGAACTGATTTATAGCTGTTTCAACACGTTTGAAAGCAAAAAATTTTAGTGTACCTATACAAAATATTAAATATTATTATTTGTAAAGAACTTTAACTTTTTGGAATGCTTTACCTGCTACAATTGTACTTTTTTCATCCAAATTTGTAATGTAGTGGAAACCAGCAATGGAAAAGATATTTTCAGTTATAACAAATTCTTGCAAATCCGAAAGTTCTACTAATTCTTCTAATTTAGCTAATTTGCTCCGAATTTCTTCTTCCACATCATCCAATGTAGGTGTAGTATTTTCATGCCCATAAAACATTAAAGAAAACAATGTTGGTGAAAAAAAATGTGGCCCTGGACCACCATGCACTAATGACAAGGCCATTAGCCTTCCAGCTTCAAAATAAAAGTTTTTTTCGAGGCATCTATGGTTAAGAGTTATGTGCCTTCTCTTTTGCCCAACAAACATTTCACTATCTTTCAAGTATTCTAATGCTAAACGAAACATTTCTCTGGTCGGGCCTCCCTCGTCCACAGCCCCCTCAGAATTTCCCTCATAATCGCCAAATTTGACAGATATCTTGTTAAAAGGATCAAATGTTTTACGCCTCATAGCCCTCACACAACACTGGAAAATATCATTGCGAAATATATTGAACTTGTTCATTTCTTCAAAATTGATCTTTTGCTGTAAGGTTTTTAAAACATCCTTAACTGATTTAAATTCCTCTTCTGATTGGTACTCTGCATTTTCAATTAATCTGTCTGGTATTACAGAATCGTTTTGCATGTGAAGAAAACTTTTATTTTCATCAAGATTAATAACAGGAACATTTGTTGTTATTTGAGACACAGTTTCGTTCTTATCAAGGAGACTGTTAATAAGCTCATTCAGACTATCTTGAGTGGTTCTGCCTGGCAAAGATCGGGCATCCAAGAAATAATCGTCAGAATCATTTTCTGAAATAAAAGTGTACTTGGATACATATAATTCAGAAATGCTATTACTTACCCAAAACCACATGGTAATTTGAATATTCAGTATATATTGGTTTTAGTTCGCGTAAACTACCACTGAAAATATTTCTTACATCGTTCTTCATTCTTATCGTCTTGTTGAAGGTTTGGATTTTTGTTTAACGCCAGATGATCATTTACCTATAAAATGAAAAAATACTTCTCGAGTTAAGATCTTAAGGTAGAGTTTCTTACCAATGATGAACTTTTTTCCAAAGATACTCGTTCTTCATCCGATTCTTCATCTATATCAGTTTTTTGGGTGGTTGCTAAATAAAATCGTAAGACTGACAAACCCGTGCTTTCTAACAAATTTTCCACAGTGGTAACTTCGTCAATTTTATTGTTTTTAAAATCAAGCAAGTCAATATCAAAATGCTCCTTTGAGAGATTTTCCATCGGGAAAAAACAGTTTAACTCCTTTTCTTTGAAGATACTCCTTGTTCGCCAGTTTGGGAACTTTAATTTTTCTCGCCCCTCCACCCCCCCTTTCTCTCACTTGTTTAAATTTAGATTCGCCGTTCATTCGACATATCCAGCCCAATATTATTTGTTTTTTGTCTTGGTAATGAGGTCCTGTTTTCTTTTTTTTAATTGACATGCCTTCAATATCATTTTGCCCTAAACAGCTTTTGGTTTCTAGCTTTTGACGAAGTCTATCTATAAGCTGTTTCTTTCTCGTGGAGTTTGGAACCTCACAATTTGTTTTTAATTTTAGAAATTGTCTAAGGGCAATTCTGTCGCCTAATCTTGGTATAAATTCCTCTAACTGCGAATCAGTCAGATGAAAAATCACATCTGGGCCAATCTACAAGTATAGGGATCTTTTTAATTAAACTAATAAATAAAATAAAATATAAATGGTATAAGCTGAGCGAGTAAATCAGTTTTTAACCAAAGTCCCCTATGAATGGGTTACGCACGCGCGAAAAAGCGAAATCCAATTTCTTTCTTTCTTATTCGCTCACGCGCAACCCGTAAATCCGATCCATGTGATAGGTCTATTATATTTAGCAATAAATTATAATTTATTTATATTATTTATTTATAATTATAATTATAATTTATATATATATATATTTTCATAATGTAAGCAAATTTAGAAGAAACACTACTTCTGCTTGTTTATTTGATTTTATTTGATCTTGTAAATTAAAAAAATTAAAGAGTGCCACTAGATGTTATGCAACCAAATATACATAAAAATGTAATCCCCCTCAAATGGAGAGTAAAGTACCGCATTTAAACCCGAAAGTGCATGTAAATATTAAATGAATTAATTATTTAATTAATGTAATCTAAATGAATACCTTTTCATTCTCCATTTTTAATAAGTGCATTTCTCTAATACCCCTTTTTCTTAAAAATTCCCTCATTTGTCTCTAAGGTCATTATTCATCTCCATCCTCTAACAAGATAGGCTTTACATTACTACCAAAACACTTTAAAACACTTATGGAAACACTTAAATTTAACCAACTTGCACTAATGTACTAATCCTTTTTCTATGATTCACTGTTTCACGATTCACATGGAACCTTAAAATTTGCGCTTGCGTACCAAACAATACAAGCGAAACGCCTGCGTAGGTAATGAACAAGGAACTGCTAAACTGCTTGAAATTGACCGCTATAAAGTTTGAATTTTTATCTCAAACGTTTGACTTTTAATCTCAAACGTTTGACTTTTAATCTCAAACGTTTGACTTTTAATCTCAAACGTTTGACTTTTTAACTCAAACGTTTGACTTTTTATCTCAAACGTTTGACTTTTTAACTCAAACGTTTGACTTTTTATCTCAAACGTTTGACTTAGAAAAAAAGTGCTTTGAGCCTTTGACGCTTCCGTAGAAAACCGATCTCGAGAGTTAAAACCGATCTCGAGAGTTAACACTCTAAAAATTTTTGCCATTTTATTAAAGTGAATATAGCCGGTTTTGCACGGATGCTCCTCATGTGTTCCAACAATTATTTGCCAGTGATTTTCAATATGTTCTGTGTTTTTAAACATGAAACAGTTAAATAAATTTTAATAAAAAAATATTAGGAATTTTACCGCAAAAATGTTATGAAATGACATATAAAATGTTGCCAATACTAATTTTTCAATAAAAAAAATTAAAATCAAATTGATTTAATAAACTAGCATTTTATTTGCAAAATAAATACTTGTTCCAACATATAGTTGTTAGGGCTCGTATATCTAATGGGATTTAAATCTTTATAGTTTTCAAATTTGCCGCCAATTGTAAAATTGATTTTAACGTTGAAAATCGCTAGATGGAGTGTCAAAAGAAAGCTATGGCGTATTACTAGGGCAAAATAAATAGCAGCAATTTGTTTTGATGATAATATTGACTCAAAATTAAGTCGATAAATTCGTAAGTACCCTTTTAAAATACTAAAAAACACTAATATCGATCCAAATGGCTACTGCAAGAACTCACTTCCGCCGTGGACAGGAACAGGAAATCTTGTCTTCAAAATGGAGATTTTCCTGTAATATTTGAAAAAGACAACAGAATCTATATAACCTCAATCTATCATGTTTACAAACGCTGTGTTATTTCTAGAAAATGATAAAATTTCCTATTTTGGATAATGAAGGAAAAAAATTCAGGCAAACAACCACAACAAAGTTTATAACCTTGGAAGAAGCTGTGACACTTCCGACTGTTATCAATGTAAGTTTGTTTTATTATTGATTGTATGATGTTTTTATAAACCATTGTCTTAGTTTGAAGGAGGAGGAATTTCGTCAGGAGCAACAATTAATGAATTGGGAAAACAATTATTGAAAGCTGCAGCAGAAGGAGATGCTACAGAAATTAAGTATTTGTTGATGAAAGGTGCCCCTTTCACGGCTGATTGGGTAAGTCAAGTTCCTATTTAAATTACACCAAAAAAAATGTTTGATATCAACATTAAAATAGGTACTATTTGAACATGGTCAAATTAAAAAGGAATGCAAGAAAACAGGGTTTGAAAATATCAGGATATTTAAATAAATATCCGATATATATATCCATAATAAATATCCAATATAAATCGAGTGATAAATATTTGCAAACCCTAAGGTTCACAATTATCATGATATTTATATAAATATCTGATATACAGGGTGTCCCAAAAGTCAACGATATCCTTTGAAGGACTAAAAGGTCAGCTCATGACTAATCAGAATATCAAAACATGACCTAAAAAATCATTACTTTTTAAGATATTGGATTTTTTATGAATTTTGTGAAACTTGACACACAAAATCAGTGTTTCAAGTGCCACAACTACAACATTCTATATTCTTAGATTATATTTTATTTTGCGTAAGGGGCTGTTCAAGTATTACGTAAGCAGATTTACTACAATTATTAACCCCCCTCCCCCTTGTCTGCAAAAGTAATCAAAGCTCTTACCCCCCTTCAATGCTTACGTAAACATTGGTCTTTTTGTTTTCAAGCATAGACAATGTGTGGGTTGCCATATATGTAAAAAAGTAAATAACTACTGCTGACGTAATCACCATCTAGACCCCCCACCCCCCATGTCATCAAAAATAAGCAAAGCAAAGACCCCCCCCACCCCCCTATAGTGCTTACGTAATACTTGAACGGCCCATAACCCTGAATAGGACTGCTATTAATTACAATTCAAAATTAAATTAATAGTATATTTTGTAGCTCAGGCACTCAAAAAACTGATCTAAGGTGTCAAGTTTTACAAAATTCATAAAAATGACTATATCTCAAAAACTAACGATTTTTTACCAAGGTCATATTTTGATTTTCTGCTTAGTCATGAGTTGGTCTATCAGTCATCCAAAGGATATCGTTGACTTTTGGGACACCCTGTATATCAATGAAATATGTATATTAGGGTGGCCCAAAAAAATAAGAATATTTTTTTTCTCTTGTCTCTTGTGAAAATATCTTGGTTTGTCATGTTTTAAGAGCCCTGTCATCAGATCAGCTCCATTAAAAAATTTTTAGGGGTCGCTCAAGATTTTTAAAATTTTCCAAAATCGTCAAAAATTGGATTTTTTTTTGTTTTATTTTTTTTTCTCGTTCCGATATTATTTTTTAATTTAAAAATAATAATGATTCTGAAAATTTCAAATGGATATTTTGATTTCTAAAGGTCGCTCAAGATTTTTTTAACTTTCAAAGTAGAGTATTTTGAATGTTTTCGAGCGACCTCTGAATATAAATACCAACGAACTTTTAGCGACCTTTAGAAATTTAAATATTGATTTGATATTTTCAAAATTTTTATTTTTTTCTACCAAAAAAATAATATCGAGACAAGAAAAAAAATTAAAATAAAAAAAAAATTCAATTTTTGACGATTTTGAAAATTTTAAAAAATCTTGAGCGACCCATAAAAATTTTTTAATCGAGCTGATATTTTGACAGGGCTCTTACAGCATGATAAACTAACATATTTTTACAAGAGACGAGAAAAAAAAAGATATTCTTTTTTTTTGGGCCACCCTAATGTATATCCAATATATAACAAGTGATATATATCTGCAAACCCTGCAAGAAAACTATGAATTTTAGGATTAAACTGTTTCTATTAACCAGGCACTATTTTAATTTAATAATATTTAGAAACAGTTGTAGGTATACAAACAATTTTTCATTTTCTAATTTTAATAAAATGTTTGTATTTGTAATCATAGGACACCCAATAAGCAAAATAATAATAGTACTTTCATGCCATGATATTTGTTCAGAAAAATTGTTAACCATTAATTAATTAATTATGTTTAATGCAAATATTAACTTTCAGCTTGGTACCAGTCCCTTGCATGTTGCTGCACAAAATAATAGTGTTGAAGTTTGTGAAATTTTACTTAGGGCAGGTATTTCAAAGGATGCTCGAACTAAAGTTGATAGAACTCCCTTACATATAGCTGCTTATGAAGGTCATATTGACATTGTAAATACATTATTAAAACATGGAGCTGATTTTGAATGCAAAGATCTGGTAAGTTAAATTTTTTTTAAATGTTGTGTTTTTTATTTAGTTTTTTGTTATAACATCTACTTTTTTTAATCCATACTGTTTGTTGATTTGATTAAAAAATTTGTATGTCCTTTTAAAAACATGGAATAAAAACATTTTAGCTTGCAATGACACCTTTGCATTGGGCAGTTCAAAATGGACATGCAGAAGTTGTAAAAATACTAATAGAAAAAGGATGCTGTACGACTGAACAAAATAAATTTAATTTAACGCCAATGGATATAGCTAGTCAGTTGAATAGAGAAGACCTTTTGGAACTGTTAAATTGTGATGCTTCCATTGCTGCACAGAATTTGGCTCTACAACTTGCAGCAGAATCGGGAGAAAATAGTAATGCCAGTGAATACCAGACTGGATTGTTAGAAAATAGTGAAGCTGTTCCTATTGGTAAGTTATTTTTAATGATAATTCTGATTATATGATTTAATAATTTACTTGCAGAAACTGTTTTACTTGAGGATGATTCCATGGGTCTTGAAACACATTGTGAGGAAGGTAAGAGCATTTTGTTTGTTTCTGTTATTTTAATGTTTATGTAACTACTCGCGCCAATTTTTGTAACATAAGTGGTTATATTCGGATGAATAAACTCTATTTCTATTTAAACACAATATTTATTAAAAAGAAAACAGTTGCGTCGGGACATCCGAAGTGGATAGACGTGTCAAGTGGTTAAAGAGACCTCTCCTAGCAGCGTATACGAGAGAAATATAATAAAGTTCCAAAAACAAACCAAAGTATTCGGAAATATCGGTCATCGGTAATAATAAATAAATAAATAAATAAATAAATAAATAAACATTCAAGTGCGGAAAGTGTGATAAGGGCAACAAGTGCAAAAAGAGTGCAACAAGTGCAAAAAAAAGTGAAACAAGTGTGAAGAGTGGGAGATCTCCCATTAAAGCCGTAAAAGAGTGCAATTGAATAAGTAATAAAGGCCAACGGTCCACCTGGTCAGAAGGGATAGTCGCAACCAAAACCTATCAAGTACCTGCAGGGAGGTCCAGAAACATCGGACAGACCGTGAAAGACCGAGCATCAGGATTATAGCCGAATATCCAAGCTAAGTAATTTTTCTAATTGCACACTGAGAAAACGAAATATTTAATATTAAGAAATCAAAACAGTTGCGATTTTTTAAAATATTTGTTAACTATTAAAAAATTTCTTAATCGTGAACAAATTATATACTAATTATTAAAACATCGTCCGGTGACTGTGTTTCAGACAAATAAAGGATAAAGTTGTCTTGGAACTGTGATATATTAACAGTTAATATACCTAAATAAAACGTTTTAACATTTGTCAACATAATTTTAAATGCAATATGCGCAAGCATGTGACGTTGCCGTAGTTTTTTACAAAATGGAATTTCGATATATTAACAGTTAATATATCTACATTTGCTAATACGTTATGAGCTTCTTTAATTCAACTTAACCAGTTCTTAGACCCAAATTAATATTTCTTTCGCCATATCCAACTCAACGATATGTTAATAGTTAACGTGCCTCGTTATTAACAAATATTTCGTTCTCTCAGTGCATGTCTAATAACAAACCATTTTATTCCAAAAAATCTAGTAAAACGTATCATATTTCGAAAAGGAATTTTAAGTTTCCCAGCTGGCACCAGAAAGTAAACATTCCTATTAGACAGACCACACAAGTCATTACATAAACAAAACAGAAAAGGCAGATAAGACTCCATCCCCCAAATAAACACTTGACTAATACCATAAATAAACGCCAAAACATAAATAATAATAAACACAAACCAAACAAACATGGAAAAAGTAAACACGAGCAATCATTCGGTGGGAATAATTAAAATGCCATCCGACGGAAATTGCTTAGTGGCCAGCTTGGCCCATCAACTAGAAATAGCCTGACAGGGTCAATAAATACATACGCATTAAGACAAAGACTAAATAACCACTTACGAACACACATGGAGACTTACAGCCCATACTTACAGGATGCGATCCTTGACCATCCCCACCGCTACGCGCATATTAACGACTGGGAACGCAAAACAGAGGCGTACTTAAAGGACCACGCACAAAACGGCTTCTGGCTGGGTTTAGAATCAATAATAGCAGCATCAGACATATTTAACGTCGCAATCGAAATACATCACGAACAGGGGCGTACTGACAAGATATCCTTCAGACATAACAATAGCAACCGGTCAAAAAAAAGTCGGTAGATCTTGCTACACATTCCACGACACCCTGGCCCAGACAATCCAATTCTCACAAACCGATCTCGCCAGCTGGGAACATATCAGCTCCCACAAAAACCGTATGCGGGAGGAGACGGAAAAACTGTATCAATTTCCGGAATCCGACTCGGAGACGGACACAGAAACTGACGAACCGGAAGTAAACCAACAAAGATAGGAGTAAGAAACTAACTAACATACCCACCCCCCATTCACGAATACCAATTGAATGGGGGTACTACTAAGGCCTAGGTTGAGGAGGATTCCGGATTGTACTTAGTTTTGGGTCAGTTCAATGTCCTCCAAAAACCCTTCCTAAACTGGACGTATGGCCCGACCCGGCTGACAAAAATTCCGGGAGCTGCCTTAACCTTTGACACTGTCATCCACGAACTCCTAGGGTGGATCTACCAACCGGCGTAAAAACTTCGGATCCAACAAACACAGGTAATGCTGTGATTTGGCGGGATACGCAGGAGAACGGAAAGGGGGTAATATAACCCCGGGTTCAGTGGATGACAATATATCTGGGGCTTGCCATACGTTCCCATACTCATACTCATACTCATATTTATTAAAAAGAAAACAAAAAATAAAACAAACAAAAAAGTTATTACTTCTACTCAGAAAAGAAGAAATCAGAAGAAAATTTAGCCATTCTTTTTTTGTTTGTGTATTCTTATAAAAATGTATACCTTAAAAACCATTATGTTTTAAATTCCATATTTTGTTGATTTAGAAATATTTTACATTACAAAAATTGAAATTTAGTTACGTTTTAGTGAAGTATTTCTAAATCAATCTCAAGCTTTCTGTTCATAACTTTGAAATTGAGGTTTTAATGCGCGACTAGCTAAGGGCAGTGGCGGCTGGTGGATTTTGGGTATACCAATATTTCAGTTATTAGACATGGGACCCACACCAAATTTATAATAGTTTATAATTACATTTAATAGACAAGTTCGGCGCAAACAGAATTTAAATTGAAGTTTGCGAAAAAAAGTTAGTTTTTCCTGTCGCCTTACCCGCCTCCTATTTAAGATAATTCAAATTAAAGTGGTGCAATTTATTATCTACTATAATTTATCGACAAATTTAAAAAATCTAAATATTATAGGTTTTATACTATTTTAAATATTTTTTTATTTTAGATAATAAATTGCACCACTTTAATTTAAATTATCTCAAATAGGGGGGCCTGGAGGCGGGTGAGGCGACAGGAAAAACTAACTTTTTTTCGCAAACTTCAATTTAAATTCTGTTTGCGCCGAACTTGTTTATTTAATGTCATTATAAACTATTATAAATTTGGTGTGGGTCCCATGTCTAATAACTGAGATATTGGTATACATAAAATCCACCAGCCGCCACTTGCTAAGGGTTAACTTCGCAAATCAGATGTTAAACAATTGACATTAACATAAAAAACAGGGAAAGTTTCAGGTAGCTTTAAAAGAAATTTTTAAAATTCAAATAAATTCCCGACTTGAAACTTTCCAAAATGGAAACTTTTCGATTCCCATCAAGCCAAACAAAAAGTTACCAAAAAAAGGAACTTTAGCATACTCTCCGCGATTGCGGCGTTGCCAAATTTACATTAAGTGCATAATTTTAATTTAATTAAAATTACGTAGGTATAGTATAATTTTAAATTAATTAAAATTATGTAAAGTATAATTTTAATTGTGTAATTAAAATTATGTAGGTACTTAAAAAATTTTTGAACACGGGCTATAAATCTATAAATTATACACTCTAGCACAAGTATTATTAGGGATTCCTGCTCTATTAATAACAATTGTAAATGTTCTATAAATAATTATTGTAAATGTAAATTAAAATAACTTTATTGGAAAAACAAAGATGTCATATGTATACACATATATTATATAGTACTAGGCAACACTGTAATTAATAAACCCCCACTACAAAATATCCCACCCACTGCGCCATAAAGTAAATAATACCAGAGTAGGTTGAAGACTGATTTATTAAAATGACTAGCATGTAGGTGTATGCATCTTGAATAGCATGGGTGGTAGGTACATTTGTAATGGGGATTTATTAATTACAGTGTTGCCTAGTATTATGTATACATATGACACCTACAACACAAGTAAGTAAGCGTTAAAAGGCTGTTTTCCACACATTTTTACTTCCCTGGAGGAACAATTATTTGTGAGAACCAACATAATTTTTGGAGAAAAAGAACAACAAAAGTTTAAAGTTCAGTTTTTTTTATTTTTGGATAACTTATTTTAAATGCGAATTTTCCAGTTTTTCAATCGCAAGATCAGAATAAAAGTAAAGAAAAAGAGAATGAAGAACCCAAAATTGAAGAACCTGATTTGAAATAAAGAATAGAGAAACTAATTTAATTACATGCCAAAAAAAAATTACAACAATAATTTTTTTTTTATAATTTTACTTATTTATACCTACATGGTAAAAAAATTGGAACCGAAAAAAACCTTATGGGCCGAAAAGATTGGTCCGAACCGGACGAAATATTTTTTTTGCAAGGGGTAAACCACTGATTTTTTTAAATTAAAAATCGCTTACGAATTAACAGCTAAGGATAACAATAACAAGGGTAGTTATGTACAACGCGTCGCTGATTAAGCAAGTTTTCCTTATTGATAACGACTGATAAGGAAAAAATCTCAACACAACGTCCACTAATATTGAACGTTGTTCTCTAAGATTTTAAAGTGGTTTACCCCTCGTTTTTTTGGAACCGTAACTGAACCCGAACCGAAATTTGTCGTTTCTCTCGGAACCGGACAGGAACCGTTATTTCAGTTGGGTCCGGGTCCCTGCTTATAAGACGTTTCCTTGCACTCGTGTGAAAACAAGTACGTATAATTTGTAGGTTATCCAGCGCACAACTACGCATGCCCAAAAATTCCGTTCCGACGATTTATAAATTGAATACTTTTTTACAGTCCGTTTTTACGTATCCAGTGCGTCTACGTTACGTCTACGTCCAACTATAAATCCCGGTTTAATCAATAACACAAATTTTTAAAAGGATTACCTCTTTTAAACATACCTTAACTTTATAAGAAATTCTTGTTTACCTTAACTTTATAAGAAATTCTTGTTTACCTTAACTTTATAAGAAATTCTTGTTTACCTTAAATACATATAATTCTATTCTAATTATGTAAATAAATCGAAAATTTACTATTTTTTACTCTTAAATAACTTTTTCTACTCCCACCTTTAAAACGCCCTTTATCGTACATGTTTCCATGACACTAAGTGACCTTTTAAATACACATTGACAAGTTGTGGCTTTATGGCGCTTTAGTCATGGGCTGAAGTTAGCAACAGGTTTTTAGTCACGGGCTGAAGTTAGTTTTAAGTTAGTTGACAGTTGTCAAATGTCATACAATCGTTAAAATAATGTGCCTTTCTTGTAAAATAATACTTAATGTGAAAATTATTTTATTATCTCAATACAAAAATACAAAAGTATTAAATAGTTTCTAAACGCCAATATTTGAAAAGTTTATATGAACATTGTACTGACCTTTTAATTTCACCGGCAGTAAACTATAACTTAAATTCGGACACGGACTCCAGTGGAGTCACTCCACTGTAAAGTGCTCATAAAACATTTTCTTTACTTTCACTGCGAAAAACTGTCAATTTTCAAGAAATACATTTTGATTTATAACCTTTATAATCTGTGTTTATAAAATAAAAAATGACATTTGACGGTCACCCAGAATAGGGGAATATTGTTTCATAGATGGCGCTCTATACAAATTTTTGATTTAAATCATTTTAAGATAATAATAAGTATTTGTCGTAGAAAAAGTATAATATGCACCTCGTTTATAAACTTTTCTATACACTCATTCATTTAAGAACTCGCTCGCAAGCTCGCTCGTGCCTAAATTAAATTCGTGTATAAAATGGCGTTTATCAAACTTGATACATAATATACTATTAATAATGTTGATATTTAAACCTTTATTACAGCCATTCCACGCTACTCGGGAATTTTTGTAGCGTCCGTTACAATCAAAGATTGTTATTAAAAGCTAACGTAATTAAATTAAATACTGTTACAATAGTTAATATTGCAAACATGTTTATTATGCTTGTAATAATTAGGCCTAAACTTATAAGCATTATAATTACGGTAGTTTTACTCACAATTTTTGATTGTAACCGACGCTACAAAAATTCCCGAGTAGCGTGGAATGGCTGATTATTATTCTGTGCAGCCGAGATCGGCCGTATCATGCATCTCTTTTCTTCCGAATGCGTTCTTCTTTAAAGAGTTGAGTGAAGAAGTTCCTTGGTCAATGCTACAAGTTTTTAAAGTATCTAGATAGATTTGTCGAGTATGACATTTAATCACGAATAAAAATTTTACTACAATATAATTTGAAGTCTAGAAATTAAAATTATGTTAAACATCATTTTAATTTCAGCAATAAAAATTACACATCCTTAAATAGTGGAGTTAATATTACCATAGGCAAAACATTGCAACTTAAACTATTGGTGCTATTCTCTCAAGAAATTGTAAGGATAACATAATGTTAACTGTCTGTTATGAACAAAAATAACATAATGTCAGGTTTATGGCATAATATTATGTAAACATAATTGTATAAACTAATTAATTATGTTGCTAACAGAGTGGAATGTGCTTAGATAATAGCAAACCAATAACATTATGTTATTTTAACAGAGATTTAACATTATGTTATCATTGACATTTCCTTATTGAATAAATAAAAGCATAAAATTCAAATAAAAGTTATAATATTAACACAACTATTAAAAAATTATTCATCAAATTAAAAACATTGCAATACGTAGTTATTTTTTGTAAACATTTTTATTATATTATTCTCAATGATGTTAAATAAAAATTGTGTTGGTAAAACAGCTTGCCATATAATACATATAACAAATTTATAAATATTTTAGGGCCCAGTTTGAATGAAGACCATTTGGAATCACAAATTTCAGAGTCAAATGTAAGCACTCAAGAAAGTTCATTTTCAGCGTCTATGAAAATCCTTCAGGATCATGGAATAACAATGTTACCCCATGATGATAATACTATTTTAAGTACTGTGATGGAAAGTGGGCACTCTGTAGTCCTTACAGGTTTGTTTTTTATATTATGAATGACAAACAAAACAAAAATATTTTTTAGATATAGGTAAAGAAGTTTTAGATTCAGTTAAACAGTCTGAAGAAGCTGTTACTGAAAATAAAAAAATCATAACTATTACAGCAGAAGAATTTTTAGCCATGACTAATGGAACTTATGGCAAAACAAGCATAAGGCCCTTTAAATTGGTAAATTGTAAAAAAACTGGAAAGAAAATAATGGTTAAGAGAAATAAAATACTTCCAATATCTAATGTTTCACAGGTAAATGTTTCAACCAACAAAAACCTATTTTTATTTAAACATTTTTATTTAGGTTACCAAAGTTGAGGAATATAAACCAACCTATAATGATATGGAATTGGTGATGTCCCAGCTTATCGAAGCTAAAAAAACTATTGAAGAATATAAGGCTAAATTAGTAAGAAAAGAAAAGGAAGCTGAAAGATATAAACAACAGTTAAAATTGCTTATGGATTCAAGCTAACTTTTGCCATTGTTATATTATTTGTTAAATTTAAATAAGTCTATTTGTTAAATTTGGTTTTGACTACATATTTTAATAGTTTATAAAATATGAACAAATTCATAAAATATTTTTTTTGTTTCCTTTCTGGAAAAAAATGTATTATTTTTAATTATTCTAATCACATTTTTAGAGAATAATCTATTTATTGCTGATACTAAATAAGTTTGTACATATTAAAAGATAAAACATTTTTTAATTTTTTTATACAGAGTATTTATTTTAATAACCTTTTATAGCATGCTAACAAAATAAATAGATTTCAAAAAATAAAAAAATACTTTACCTATTTGTCAAGGGGCGATTTATGTTATTCTACAAGTTTCAGTGCGGTTAGAAGGCGAAAAAAAATAAAAGTTCAAGCTGTTATCATGATAACAGCTTGCAAGTACTTTTTTATGGGCCAAGAATAAAAAATATGTAAAAAACGCTTAAGGATTTTTATTTAACTTAAAATCTGTTTTAACTTTTCGCACGAACCTCGAGGGTACGTATTATTTTTATAACTGAACCCCTACGTCATCAATGTAAGGATATTCAATATCCGATATTGTGAAGTCTCAGCTCTTCAATGTAGGAGTAGATAAAGAAACAAAACGACAGAAAATAGTCGTATAGGTTTATACCATATACCTATAATAGGTATATGGTTAAAACCATGATACATACCAGGGTGGAACTGATACATACATTCTTTGTATCATTAGACCAGTGCAGAAGCCTTTAAAAATGGTAAAAAGAGAAAAAAAATAACAGTAGGATAAAACCCATTGGAAAAGGAGGGGAATATAATAAAAATTAAAGGAAAAATAAATTACGGGCGATCTTAGTTCGGGAAGTGGGAGGGGGGGGGGGTTTAAGGGTAAAAAATGGTTTATCTCGATTTCCGGCAAAACTACAAGTCCTATGGAAAAAAGTTAAATGTCAAAGTTGTAGGTAATAAAAAGATCTACAACTTTTGTATTTACAATTTTTTCACATAACCTCAAAATTTATGTGAAAAATTCAAAAAACCAAGTTTTTGGTTTTTATTTTTATCTATTTCAAAAAAAAAAAATTTTCCACGAAATTTGGTGAAAACGTACCTTTTTATGTCCCAAATACACTGTAATTTATTTGATTTGAAATATTTATTATTTCGCCTTATTTTGACTTAATATCAAAAAAGCACCCTAATTTTCAATCGAAAATTCTCGCGTCAAAATATCAGCTTTTTTCAAAAAGTCGGTGTGCTTTTTGTTCGATGAACTCTTTACTTTCTGATGGTGTAAAAAAAATATACATTACTATGGTAAGTGTTCTCAGAAAATACAAAAAATATTATAATGAATAACGTAATCAGAATGAAGTATCTAAATTCAATAGTATGATTTACATGTATTTTTATATTTTATGAGATTTTCTGACATAAATGTTATTAGAATTTAATAAATAAACTTTTTAACTAAAAAAAATTGCAACAATCACATTTTTTTGATGAAATTGTACATATATGTAAATAATGATTAAAATAAATTTTCGAATTCGAGTTTTTTTTCGTTATTCATTATAATATTTTTTGCATTTTCTGAGAACATTTACCATAGTAATGTATATTTTTTTTACAAGTAGAGATTTCAACGAACAAAAAGCACACCGACTTTTTGAAAAAAGCTGATATTTTGACGCGAGAATTTTCGATTGAAAATTAGGGTGCTTTTTTGATATTAAGTCAAAATAAGGCGAAATAATAAATATTTCAAATCAAATAAATTACAGTGTATTTGGGATATAAAAAGGTAAGTTTTCACCAAATTTCCCAAATTTACCCAAATTTTTTGAAAAAGAAAAATAAAAAACCAAAAACTTGGTTTTTTGAATTTTTCACATAAACTTTGAGGTTATGTAAAAAAATTGTAATTACAAAAGTTGTAGATCCTTTTATTACCTACAACTTTGCCATTTAACTTTTTTCCATAGGACTTGTAGTTTTGCCGGAAATCGAGATAAACCACAGACCTGTAGGTCTGTGAGATAAACCATTTTTTACCCTTAAAACCCCCTCTCCCACTTCCCGAAGTCAGATCGCCCGTAATTTATTTTTCCTTTCATTTTTATTATATTCTTCTCCTTTTCCAATGGGTTTCATCTTACTGTTATTTTTTTTGGTTTCAAAAATTATCGACCCTGGTCTACATGGGTTAAAACACAGAATATCAGAGACAACATTGTCTCTGAGAATTTAAACAAAACTATTTTGTCAACGCGCATGCTTACGGAATGCGGTACGGGAACACATACAGTTCAAGATACATACAATATACATGCATACAGTATATGCATACAGTTGTACTATCGCTAACAAAAAAAACTCATACAGCTTAAAAATCTAGTGTTCCTGATTTTCTATCATTTCGTTGGAGTAATTATGGCTTTTAACATGATACCAGTGTTGCCAACTCGAAAATAACAAATAACGCTACAACAATATCAAAATTCCGCTACGCTCCGCTACAGCCGAATCTATCCTAATTCCGCTACACCCGCTCTATTTTGGCTTAAAGTTTGGAATCCAAACTTTGGATACAATTTTTTTTAATGCAAATAAAGACAAGAAATGTTAAGCAAAATACTTTCTTCAAGTACCTAATAAATATAAAAAACAGGTAACAAAAAATCCCTATATAAAACCAAAACAAAAATATTCTAACGCTGGAAGTCCCGCCCGCCCGTAAAAGATAAACAATACGCAAGCCGCGGTAGCATTTATAAATCCTACGGCGGCTATATATAGCATTTTACGGGAGGGCGGGAGAAAGTACGAAAGGAAATCTATAAATAAAGCTAAGCACAAAAGATTTTAACCCTTCATTAGTCTCACTGTTTTCTGAAACGCCATTAGTCGATTCGATGTATGAGACCGAAAGTTAAAAATTACGTTCATTAAATATCTTGTGTGTGTATTGTGTGTAATTTTTAAGAAAAACACTATTTTAATATTTTTAAATGTAATGTTTTTAATAAACAAACAGAACAAACTATCAATATAAGAAAAAAAATTAGTGTTTTAAATGTTTTACTAAAACGTATTTAAAAAAAAACTAAATTCCGCTACGTTTTGCCATCATTTTGTTCCACCGCCGCTACGCCGCTTTTGGGGGTGAATCCCGCTATGCGTAGCGGAATTCCGCTACGGTTGGCAACACTGCATGATACGTCACATTTGAAAGGTCTAAAATTAAATACAAAGTTAGGTTAAAGTTTGAAAAAAAAATAATATTTCGTAATCCCTCTGTTTTTGTCAATTACTGCCCGCAAACGGCAAAGCATGGAAGTCGCCGTCTTGCTTTATCTCGTTCCAAATGGCTTCAATGGATTGCCAGAGTTCGTCTGCATTGTTTGGTTGAAAATGTTAAAAAAGTCATAATGGATGTGACAATGGGGTAGTTAAATTTTTTCTCACCTATACTTTTTATGGTTTTATTCAAGGCGTTTTGTAATATTAAACATTTCTGTGAAATCAGAATTTCAATTGAGTTTACCGTTTTCGAGTTATTTACAAAAAATATAAATTTTTATGACGTCACAAACCTCGCCATGTGACCAACATTCTAATGGTTGAAAATTACCCTGTTGTCAAGTTGTCTTGTTAATGATTTCATTCGGTTATGTCAGAAAATACCCGAAGAGGTTATGTACAAATACTGTCACTGTCAGTTGAGTGAAAGATGGTCACCAAATTCATTAAGTACCTATCTTCCTTATTACGAGGTATCATATTACTGTTTGATATTTTAGAGTCCAAGAAATATCTAAAAGAATATAAAGAACTAGGCATTATACTAATGAAATGCATTTACGACAAAATATGATTATAATTATAGGTACTTACTTTATTTGTTTAAAAGCTCCAATGTTCAATGTAACCAACCATTCCACAAGATTCCTCTGCTTTGGAGTCCATTATTAATAAATCACTAATCTAATATCAATTACAAATAACATAACAATAACATTGATTTTCAATAATCTAATTTAAAAAAAAACATAACCCGAAAAAAAGAAACGTTAAAAAATCAATTCTTCTTCTCAACTAAAATTATAGATCAAGTGGCTTTAAAACTAAAATATTATAACGTGGCGCCATCTATCGTAAGAATCTTAAACTAAACACACTGGCAACCATAGAAAAACCTGCAACGTTGTCAATAGCCTAGTGACGTAATTAGGAGATTTTTTTTTGTAAATATCTCGAAAACGGTAAACTCAATTGAAATTCCGATTTCACAGAAATGTTTAAAATTACAAAACGCCTTGAATAAAACCATAAAAAGTATAGGTCAGAAAAAATTTAACTACCCCATTTGTCACTGACAAAGATCGATGTCAGCTTGACATTGACGGAAAAGTTTTATTCACACCAGGGTTGCCAACCGTACTAGAATTATAGTATTTCTACTATAATTTTATGTCGGTGTACTATGTACTATAGCAAAGTATTATAGTACGTTAAAATACTATAATTTTAAATAATAGTATTATTATTATAATAACCACTTCTTAAAAAAATCTATAATTTTTAAAAAAGAAAACTGTAGAATTTATGAAAAAGAAAACTGCAAAATTTGTGCAAAAGCAAAACTAGCCACATGAAATACCGTGGTGCGCATTAGCGCGGCGCGTGCATTTATTCTCTTATTCTCTTATTTAAGTTAAATAATTATCACAGAAAAAGATTTTTATAGGTTATACGTGTAAATACAGTGTGTACATTTTATAATAAAGGGTATGTAGGTAAGTACCTACAGAATAAATTTTCAACTGCATACAAAGTTTGTAAACTTATCAGTTATTGTCACAACAAACGTTTTTTAAAAATATATACTATATAAAGGGTGTTTTTTAGGAGCGGAGAACTTTAAATTGAAATAAAACACAACAAAATGTTTTTAATATTCATGAAATTGGCTTTATTGGCTTTATTTATAATTTTTTGGCATTAATGTTTGAATATTATTTCGGGAATGTGGCCACCGCGGCTGGCGCGTACAGGCTCTATCTAGAGGTCCAATTTTCACACACTCTTTGCAGTAAATCAGGCTGTATTTCAGCTATAACGTGTCGAGTGTTGGCTTCCAAGTGCTCAATTGTTTCTGGTTTATCGGCGTATACATGCAACTTTCTTTACATATCCCCAAAGAAAATAATCTTATGGCTTCAAATCGTTTAACAAGTCTAATTGTTGAGCACGATGACGAATTGACACATTTGGATCATCATCAACGCTATGCTGCACACCGGCAATCGCGTGTGTACCACGTCTTACGGGATGCGTATTATTGTTTACGGTAAAGGAATTGCAAAAACGATTCATACTATGAATTTCATAGTGTCTTGAATTAATCGGTTAGAAGGACGATTATGAGAACCATAAAACTCACGAAATGCCCTATGTGTTTCCCCAATTTAACCGTTTTTTTTCAAAATAAATTTTTTCAAAATAAATTTGCCAAACCAACCTAACTCAAATCGGATGTCACAGAAAACAGTGTTGCCAATTTAAAGTTGTCCAATTTTTAAAAAAACACCCTTTAATATAATAAAAAACCTGTCTTTATTCTAACTTCTATAGAAGTTAGAATAAAGTAGCCTATTGGTAAAAAGGGGGAAAAATGTGGGCTCCTGCTTCTAAAAAACCAATACGTCATCTGTACTATAATTTTTCTAAAAAATACTATAATTAAATTGAGAAAATACTATAATGTGCAACTCAAGAGTTGGCAACCCTGATTCACACAGCCACAATATAGCTGTATGAGTTTTTTTTGTTATCGATAGTATTCATTAAAAAAGCGTACAAGAATTAGAATGAGAGAAAACTGTCAACAATATTGCGTAAAACCGGCTTTCCACTGACTTAAGTCACTATAACTGACAGTAGAAAATAAAAATGCCTCGTCAGTTAAAAAGGCTCAAATAGTATCAAGAATCGAAGAAGAATGGTCAATTCGTACCGTGGTATAATAGAAATAAAAAATCTATATTAAAAATTAACAATTTTTGTAATATTATTTAATTAACCTACGACGTCAATGCTCTTTATAACCTATAGTAATTATTTTAATGACTTATGTCAGTGATAAGCCGGTTTTAAGCAATAATATTATTTTGACAGTTTTCTCTCATTCTAATTCTTGTACGCTTTTTTATTGAATACAACTGTACTAGACACACAAATCGTACGGGCAAGCAGCCGGAAGGAAGGAAGGCAATCTATAAATCATGATTTATTCGTTAACGTATACCTGAGAACACGATACGCAATTTTTGTGTATCGTGCCTGAGAATAACGTTGAAAATGGTGTGAACGGACCTTAACTCGGGAGAAATTCACAGAACATAAGGAGAAATTGCAGGGTTGCCAATTTTACGACCTAGACGTCATTTTTTGTTTAAACTTTTGTCAAAAGCTTCATAGATCGCTTTGATTAAATGATTTTTATTAGTAAATTTTATGGCTTTATTTTATCAACAATTTCTAAAATTTTGCAATAGAGAAAGGAGGAACGGCTATAGATAAACCATCGCCGTCGACAAATTTCTGTCCTATGAAACGACAAACATGGCGGACCAAGAAAACTGTAAAGATGTTAAATTATTAAAAAGGACAAGGATTTCGGTGTTTGTTGACGAAGCTTTGCCCGATATTCTTGTTGTCACGTACGAGTTTGGTGTACAAATTTTTAAGGGGGTACTACTAGAGTCAACAAAGAGGTGAGCTATTTCATCAACTTTATGCCCTTTCTGTGCTAAAGTTTCATGTTCGGCCTTGAATAATTCTTTATTTTAACGTTTAAGTCATATAGATTTATTCAGCATTAAAATATCTTGGTCAGGAACTTGATTTGTAGCCATTTCACAGATGTGTAGTTAACAGGGTGGGCCTCGATTATACCCTTTGTTTGGGGCCTTGTTTAAGTAACAGCTCTTAAATCAACAACATAATACCTATGTAGTTTTGAGAAAGAGCTTCTACAACAATTCAATCAATGTATAGCCCAGTCTCTTGAAATAAATAAAAATAAATTGTTTGAAATGTCCTTTTTGTAAACATATTTACTATTTATAAATTTAAATATTAAAAAGGACCCAGCACTAATCCTATGGGAAATGGGTCCCAGTGGATTTGGCTAGATTTCACTATATTATTAAACATGACTTGCTGATCACAAGTTACCATTGGTACATTCTTTAACGTTGTAATTTATCAAAATTTTAATATTTTAGATTTTAAGAATTTTCAACTTTGAGTCTTCTAGCTCTGAAATCATTTTTTGATAATGTGCCAATGCTTTTGTTGGCTTTTGATCAGTGTTTTCTACAATATAGTAAAATCTAGCCAAATCCACTGAGCGCCATTTTCTAAAGGAATGGTGCAGGGTCCTTTTCATGTTTTAAATCCTAAACCAAAATCCTATGTCCCAGTAGTTAAGAAAACTTAAAAAAAAATTATTTTTAATATTAATATTATTAATAGTAAATGTAGCCACAAAACTATTAATTAGGCACATAATAAATTGCAAAATTAAAGTGTATAATAATAACCCTTTATTGTTTCGAATACATAGCATATTAATATACAATTGTATCATCATCAAAAGTCCTATTCGTATGGGTCGTTCTTTTTTTCATCGTCAATTACATGTCTCGTCGAAAAAATAAATAAGTATTCTGCCGTTGTACGTTTTTTTTTCTGGAAATTTTGTAGTAGTAAGTAACGGGGCCGTCCATAAATCTCGTGACGCTGGAAGGTGGGAGGGGGAGTTTGAAGAACCGTCACAATTTGTCACGCCCTAGCGAGGGAGGTTTTTTTAAACGTCACAAAGTAAATCGAATTAAATTGCTTATTTTTCCATTTTTTTTATATTGAGTTAAAAAAGAATCGGAAAAAAATAGGGGGAGGGGGATTCGTAACATAACCCTTTGAAAACTTTCCATATAACAGTTTAAATAGCTATTATATAAATATTAAAAATTCACTTTATTAAGGCTTTACACAAAATACTTTGTATTTTTTTATTTATAAAAACTAGTTTATTTTTTTAAACTGCAGGAACTACTCTTTTATATTTTTTGCTTATATTGTGTGAGTTCTATTTAATATTTTATTATGAATCAGAAACCTAAATATTATGTTTAGCCAAAAAAACTGTTTTTAAAATTTTAAAAAATTATAATATAAAACTTTTAATATTGTTTCATTCGTATTTTTTCCTCAGAAAGGGATTCAATTTTGGTGTTTTGAGAAGAATACTTTTTTCCAGAAAATCTTTTTTTCATATTTTTTTTTTTTTTGATTTGATAAATTAAAACCATTTTCTCGAAAAAAAAAACTGAAAAAAAAACGGAACCATAAATACTAATACCAAGAAATTAAATAAAATTGATTACACTAAATAGTGTAATAGTGTTAATTATATTTAGACACTTAACATAATATAAAAATGTTGGGAAAAAATTCTTTTTTTTACTGATAATTAAAAAAATATGTATATTTAAAAAGGTTTTGGAGTTTTATAAAGAATTATGAAAAAACATCTGAAAATCAAAAATATTTTATCTTAGGGGTAGTCAGCCATTCCAGGCTACTCGGGAATTTTTGTAGCGTCCGTTACAATCAAAAATTGTGATTAAAACTACCATAATTATTATGCTTATAAGTTTAAGCCTAATTATTACAAGCATAATAAACATGTTTGCAATATTAACTATTTTAACAGTATTTAATTTAATTACGGTAGCTTTTAATCACAATTTTCGATTGTAACGGACGCTACAAAAATTCCCGAGTAGCGTGGAATGGCTGTAGTCCATAAAGTACGTCACTCGTGGGTTTGCTGTTTGTGAACAAGTGTGACGCAGGTGAGGGGAGTCTGGATCGTGCGTTTCGTCACACCAAACAAATAAAAAAATTTTTTGCAATATTAAAAATATCTTGTGGTTTTTATTTTTCAGTTATTAATACTTTTTTATAATATATTATGTCCGAAAAACAACTTAAATGCATATTATGCTCTACTAAAAATTGTTAATTAAATTAAGACAAAACAGGAAACAGGAGTGTGTTGTGTTATTTTGAGGGGAGGGGTTAGGGTGACAATATGTAGCAGCGAAAGGGGGCGTCTTAAATTCCCAAACAATGTGTGGCTTACCTTATGGATGACCTCTAACCCCTAAAATCCAGTATGTAGGTAACTACATATATTATATTTTTTTATATCAACACAAAAATAGACTTAAGAAACAAATAGGCATATCTGTATTTTTTCAAGTTGTCTTGACTTGGGGGCCTGATCCGGATCAACAGTAGCTAGATCAAGACTTTCTTTCATCCCCTTTTAAAATTTAAATACTAAAGGCCGTATGCATAAAACTTTTAAGCCGTGGACTAGTTAATCATTGAATACATTTTTGGATTATGAGATAACATGTTTGTGTCAGATTCAAGTTTAGATCATTCAAATTCAGGAATTTTATTATAGTTTTAAAACAATTTAATTAATTCTTTCCAGAAATCTGCCATGTGGGGTACCCAACCTAAACCCGGCGTTAAACATCCCATCAAAAAACCCAGATGATGACGCTCTATACGCAGTTAATCAAAGATTTGCGTACACGGATCCCGCATCAGCGGCAGCGGCCAAAAAGAAAAATGTGCAAATTACCAGTAAATTAAAAAACAACAAAATGACGGTCAGATTAAGGCCTAGGCAGGTTCTTTGTTCGAAATGTAAGGGAATCTGCAACGAAAATTCGGAAAACGTTTCGAAAAAACGGAAAGATCCAGATTCGACGAGTGCGCCGCCGTCCCAATCGCCTGCCAAACGACCGCCTGCATCAAGAGCAAGTTATTTGTCGCTGTCGAACAAAAGAAGAGCGCAAACTCACGAGCCGACCCTAGTCCCTAAACTAACCCGATTGACTTTGCAAGAATGTAAAGACTTTAATGTAGATAATAGTTTATTAAAAAAACCTCTAGCCTCAATAAATAACCACGAAAATCATTCCTCCGACTGCAGCTCAAGCTCCGAAGAAGTTACAGACTCGAGAAGTGCCAGGAAAAAAATGCTTAGGAAAAAACGGAGTATATCTGAAGAAACTTCGGAAGAAAACAAAGATGTAGATACAATCCTTCATTGTTCCTCAACTAACACACGGACAATAAAAATATCGTACGGGCCCCAGGGCGAGGGCACCGTGCTTAAAATACCTGCCAAACTGGAATTGGACGACTCAGAGGAAAACGTTGAAGAACCAGACGCAAATAAAGATACCACAACTCCTCACGATAAAGCTGCTAGGAAAGCTTTAAAGAAAGCCAAAAAAGAAGCAAAAAGAAAGGTATTATTGTCCAGCACCACGCCGTCGGTGTACCCGGGTAGCAACAGTCCCGGCTATACCATAGGAGTCTCCTCGCCTAGATACACGGTGGGCAGCGCATCTCCACGCCACGGCCTCGGCAGCAACTCGCCACGGTACGCGAACTTCGAAATCAATATGCCGAAGAAGCGCAAACACAAAATGAAACACAAAAGGAAGCATAGGGATGAAAAGGACAAGAAGTACAAAGAAAGCGAGGTAAGTCCCTTTTTGTCGTTAAACCTCAAAGAACCGCGCGAAGACTAGTTACTTATTAATACAAGATTAGATAGGTAATTAACTGAAATGTGAATTTTATGTTAGCCATACCAAACAATAAAGAATTTGATATTTTTCCTACTTGTGTGACAATATTTAATATAAAAAAGTAAGAATCTTTTTTGTTTTAATTTTTGTCCTATATTACTTTTAGCTGATATCAATAAACACACTATAAAACAAATAAGCAACAAAAATATTTGTGTTTTACTTTTTATTGTCTATAGGTTTTTTTAAATATATTAAATAAATGGTAATTTAATAAAGTGAAGAGGGCTTTTTATTTTTCCAAAACAATTAGGGGAGGTCCATAAATTTTGTGACGCTAAAAATGGTCAAATTTGACCCAGTCCCTTTTGACAGAGTGTAACGATCTAAAACATTTTTTTCCGATTCTTTTTTATAATAGATAAAATAATCCGACTAAAAATTGAACAAATAAGAAATTTTATTCGATTTACTTTGTCACGTGACGTATCCCCCCCTCAGGGTTTACAAATCGTGACGGTCCTTCAAACTCGCTCTCCTCTTTACCAGTATCACGAGATTTATGTACCTTATTGTTTGAAAATCAATGTTATTATTAATGTTATCTACTTACGTTAATGTGACTTTAAGGCGTTTTAGTCACGGGCTGAAGTGAGCTTATAAATTGGGAAAAAGTAAGGTTAAATCCGTTGACAGTTGACATGTAGTATGCAACTCGTTTTATTAACTTCTCTGGACACTCGTTTTTATTAAACACTCACTCGCAAGGTTTGCTCGTGCCTAATAAAATTCGTAACTAAAATGGCATTTATAAAACTTGATAGATAATAATATTATACTATTTAAAAACTGCATAATTAAATGTAGATCACATTTTAAAAACACTGACCAAATAATAACTTAGGTATATGGTCAATTTGATTAATATTACGTTCTAAATGCAGGAGTCAAATTGAGAAGCAAAGTTAAGAAATACCTTTTATTTAAACTTCAGGAATTAAAAAAAATAATGAAAAGGTAATTTTTCTTAAACCATTGAGAAAAAAATTTTCAAACCCCTTTTTTTCTGTTTTTTTTATTCGTTATAATAATCTTGACTTGAAACGGAAGAAATATTAGTATATTATGTATCAAGTTAAATTTAATTTAGTCACGAGCGAGCTTGCGAGCGAGTGCTTAAGTTAATGAGTGGATAGAAAAGTTTATAAACGAGGTGCATACTATACTAAGTCTTTTTCTACAACAAATACTTATTATTATCTTAAAATGATTTAAATCAAAAATTTGTATAGAGCGCCATCTATGAAACAACAGGGAAAACTGTCAAATGTCACATTTTTACATTTTATAAACACAATTATAAAGGTAAAATGTATCTTGAAAATTGACAGTTTTTCACAGTGAAAGTAAAGGAAATGTTTTATGAGGACTTTACAGTAGAGTCCGTGCCCGAATTTAAGTTATAGTTTACTGCCGGCGAAATTAAAAGGTCAGTACAATGTTCATATAAACTTTTCAAATATTGGCGTTGAGAAACTATTTAATATTTTTGTATTGAGATAATAAAATAATTTTCACATTTAGTTTTATATTACAAGAAAGGCACTTTATTTTAACGATTTTATGACATTTGACAACTGTCAACTAACTTAAAACTAACTTCAGCCCGTGACTAAAAACCTGTTGCAAACTTCAGCCCGTGACTAAAGCGCCGTAAAGCCACAACTCGTCAACGTGTATTTAAAAGGTCACTTAGTGTAATGGAAACATGTACGATAAAGGGCGTTTTAATGGTGGGAGTAGAAAAACAATTTCATTTAATTTACTTTGACACGTGACGTTTTTAACCCCCCTCTCGGGAGTGACAAATCGTGACGGTCCTTCAACACACCCCCCTTCCAGCGTCACGAGATTTATGGTAATATAACTAGAGAGTGAGAATAATTTAAAAATAACTCGACCGATTTTGTAAACCCTGTTGCCAGGAGGCTCAAGTGTTTATTGCCAAATGGAGAATGGAGAATTATTTTCAATTTATCGATCTCTAGTGTGGTATTCCTTGGATTATTTTTTATTTTGTAACAATGCCTCAACAATAAACATAAATGTCAAAATATACTTCAATTTATTCCCCTGGCAATAATTTAATATAATATATGCTCGGGTATAATATGATCTTTTCTTTGCTTGGTCTATAATGTTCTATTTAAATAATTGTGTCCTAAAGATAGGAAAAATAAATGTTTTTTTTTAAGTTTTGATTCAAATAAAATATTGCCTATGGGTATTGGTTATATATTTAAATAAATATATGTATTTAAGAATAATTATTAAGAAGACATAAAAGGTACATTTTAAAAGGAATTTTGTGAAATAATTCATTTATTAATTACCTAATTAATCTTTAAAGTGACTGACCAAAATTTAAAAAAATAGGTAAAAAATATTAGATTCGTGTACAGAGGCGTAGTTAGGCGTTGGCAACATCGGGGAAAGCCTTGCGCCTTAGGTGGCCCGCCACAAAAATTTCCATTCTAAAAAAAACGCCCCAGTTCGTTTATTGGCATTAAAAACAGTTTTATAACTTTGTTTGCATTTTTAACCCATAATAAAATACAATAAAATAGAAAATAAATCCATATTACATTTCGGCCGTTTCAGGCATCAAAATTGTCAAAAATATTTTTCTTTTATTAGGCTATACAATAAATAAAAAACGCATAGAAATATTTTATAAAAGTATAGATAATTTTAATAATTAAAAGGTGTGGACGGGACAAAAAAAGATTTATCTTGTCCCATCCACACATGTCAATTATTCAAATTATCTCTACTTTTATAATATATTTCTTGCGTTTTTTTAATTTAATCTATAGCCAATAAAGGAAGAAATTTTTTTACAATTTTGATGCCAAAATATTATATAGGTACCTAATAAATTACTGTCCGCATGCCTGAAATGGCCCATTTGTCGGAAAAATGTATATCATTTAAATAAATTTAAATTTTTGTACAAACTATCTTATTTGCGCTCTGTTATAAGAGTCCCAAACTTACGAAATCATGATAGGGGTCACATTTATCATTAGTTTTCTCGAAATGATGCCCCTGGCAATAAGCTTAAATAAAGGCTTTTGTTTATTGCCTTAGGTAGTAATAAATATATTTTAAACTACATTGTGCCTTAAATATTATTAATAAATTAAAGGTGAGCTCAACTCAGGATGATGACTCGAGAGACTTGTGCGGGACACAGAAACTTTCAATAAACTTGAAACGTTTGAACAACACGTACACGTCGTGCAGCCAAGTTGAAGCGATCATTGGCGAAGAGGAAAATGAAGACAATTCGAGTTCGGACGAAATGGATTCGGCGCCCGAATTCCCGCAATCGAATCCACCCATAACTCTAAGGATCAATGCCAACGCGTTGTCAAACGCAATGGGAGCAGATGGTAAGACATACAGTTTACTTATTTTTATTTTTTTAAGTATATAATTTTTCTTTTAAAGATTTTGTTAAAATTCCAATGTTTCCAACATTTCCAAAATTTACACAAATTTAGACGCACTTTTTAAATTTAATTGTATCTGAATATTTTGAAATTTACCTAAACGGTAGATAATATACTTAAGTTTTTATAAAAATGACACTTAAGTAATTACAATGTTATTCTATGCACGTTTCAATATACAGTAACGGTTATGTATTACTTTTGTGATTTAAAGGAGTTAGACTTTTGGTTGGAGACGTGGTTTGGGGGAAAATGCACGGTTTTCCTTGGTGGCCCTGTAAAATTCTGACAATAACCAGCGGTAGCGATCAGATTCCAAAAGCGCACGTCTCATGGTATGGATACAATACGTCATCGTCCCTTTTGGAGTGTGATCAACTGAGTCCATATTTAGATAACTTTAAGGTATATAACTATATATAACTATTTTTTATATTACCAATATATATTATATGTTTTATTTAATGAACACAAATATTTCTTACGCAAAATAGTTCTTCCTGGGCGATTACTTTAAAATTTAAATGCAGAACGCAGTCTTATGATGATAACGAGATGAATTATAAATAATAGTATATTACACTACAAGGGCCGAAAGTTGAATTTTCGGCCCTGCGCGTCATGATGCCCGAGGCGAAGCCGGGATTTCAACGTTTGGCCCGGGTAGTGTATACTATTTTTCTTCATACATCGGTCGAAAGTACTTACTTTCGTCCCTGCTATTAGGGACGAAAGTAAGAACTTTCGAACAAGGTATGAAGAAAATGTATATATTTACGTTTACATTTTGTGTCCTTAATAAGAAGGTTTATATGCTAAAATCAGTGATGTAACCGATACATTTAGGTACAGATACAGATACTCTCTGTATCTAAGTATCTAAGTTACTTCCAGATACTATCTGTTAAAAAAAACTTAAAAATGACAAAGAAAAAATTGTTTGGACCTTATAATGCAATAGATATTTATGAAACAAGCGTATAAACTATAAAATAGATGTCCAATGGATATCCTATGTATATCCTGGATATCCAAAGAGCATGTCCATTGGATATCCATTGGATGTACCTGTTCCTTGTGTTGCAATCAGGTTTGGTAAAATAAAATGTATCTTGTATCTGAGTCAAGCCACGTCAAGTGGGACCAGAAAATTTCAAGAAATCACCGAATTTAAAAATAATCACATTATTGTGTAGTAGGCATGACGCATATGTCACAGTAAAAAAATTGTTTTGTTATTCGCTTTTTTAGTAATGTTATTAAAGTTAAAAAATATGTCAAACTTTAGAGCATGGTAAAATTAAAAAAATAGAATCTCTGGGACCACTCTGTATAATTGAATTAAATTTTACACACTATTGTAGCAATTTTTAGACTATTGAATGATAATTTAATTAAGGTAAATTTGTTTAAATAAAAGAATTTTGCATACATTTATTATAAACAATTGAAATTTTGTATGTGTTCTTCACGCTGAAAAAAAAATTAATGTTGTGCCATAATATGCGGAAAACGTTCCCGTTTAATAAAATGTACTCAAAAATTTGTCCTTTATATATCATTCCGGAGATATTAAACTTTTTGTTTAGCTCGTCGGTTCTAACGTTTTAGAGTTGTGTAGTTCGCGAACGAACTAGTTCGGAAGAGCGCTCTTTTAGATGAACTACGCGAACTAGGTCCCTGCTCTGACCGGTTTTAGTTCGTTCGTTCCTTTTCCGAGATTGGAATTTTGAATCTGTATCTAATTAAAGTATCACACTCTAAAATTTACAGGTTTCTGTAATTTAAAAACTTTGTTTATTTACTACAAAATTTGTAAGTTAGTTTATAAAAAAATTAGAAATATATTTTTTAGTAGTACTTTTTTATTATCTTGATCAGAACGCATTTAAAAAATAACAAATAGATTGAACTAAAGAACTAAAAGAGTTCACAGCTCTAAAGCGCTTTACTAAAGCGGCTTTAGATCTGCGAACTAACGAACTAAAAGAGCGAACTAGTTCGTTAAAAAGACACGAACTAAAGTGATCGCTCCCAGTCGCGACCTATAATGCCCAAGCCTATAACGTTTTAACCAAAAGCTGTGCTAACGAGCTAGCAGCGAAGCGCGCTGCGTACTGCTCAAGGAACAGCGGGAGAAAAAAATTAATATCTCCGAAATGACCTATGAAGGACAAATTTTTGAGTACATTTTATTAAACAGGAACGTTTTCCGCATATTATGACACAAGATTAATTTTTTTTCAGCGTGAAGAACACATACAAAATTTCAATTGTTTATAATAAATGTATTCAAAATTCTTGTATTTAAACAAATTTACCTTAATTAAATGACAATTCTATAGTCTAAACATTGCTACAATAGTATGTAAAATTTAATTCAATTATACAGAGTGGTCCAAGAGATTCTATTTTTTCAATTTTACCGTGCTCTTAAGTATGACAAAATTATGAACTTAAATAACATAACATTTCAAAAAAAATTTGTGACATGTGGGTCATGCCTACTACACAATTATGTGATTATTTTCAAAATCCGCGATTTCGTGAAATTTTCTAGTCCCACTTGACGTGGCTTGACTCATCTAAGGATCTAGATACTAAATTAGATCCTGATTTTTTTATGTATCTCGATACGTATCTAGGTACACAGCAAACGGAAAAATATAGAACTGTATAGGATGACTCCCCGTTTGAATACTAAATCTTAGAATTATATCAGTACTGTATTGAATTGTGCTTTGTTTTTATATTTTTCGGCTCTATACCTATACACGACTATATTTAAAGTCAAACTCAATGAGCTATAGCTATATATTTAAATTTATTAAAAAATCTAACTTAAAGATATGATATGATTAGCATCCTGGGATCCTCCTGGGGCGACCATCCTTTGTTTGTTTTGTTTTACCTTATCGACTTACAAAGAAGATACATCATTACCAAAAGAAACAAAGCACAACAGACACATGCATGTCCGCTTGTAGAATCCTATATATAGGATTCTACAAGCGGACATGCAAGTATAGATTTAATATTAAAAGGCATATGGTGTCCTATGGATAGCAAGCAGTTAATTAGTAAGTTAATATTAGCTCTGTTATTATTACATTCAAAGAAGAGATGATCTAGATCGCCAAATTTTCCACATGAACATAGTGGGTCGTCTTTTACTCCTATTCTACAGAGGTGTGCAGGATAGGAACAATGACCCATTCTGACTCTGCTTATTGTAGGAATATATTCTCTGTTTGTAAAATTTATGTTGTAAAACCATGGAATTTTCCAGGATTTATTTTCTAGGAAAGCATAGTTCTTCCCCTTATACACTGACGATTCTTTCCAATGTTTATGCCAGCTATTATACAATAATCTTTTTAGGCTTTGAAAAATTCTGAGGAAGGGATTTCATATTTTTCTGTGTTTTTGTTTGCTGCTTCTTTGGCTATAGCATCTGCCCTTCCATTTCCAGTAATCCCTGAGTGACCAGGGATCCAACATAGAGCCCCTTTTTCCCCATAATCTTTTATATCATTGTATAACTGGTTAATACTTAAAGAAATGTTGTTAGATTTTCCGTTCCATGGATTATTTTTTATCTATCTAAGTACGCTCAGAGAGTCTGAGAAAATAATAAATTTTTTTAGTTTATCTTTTAAACAAATTTTTAACGCAAAAAAAATTGCCATCTGTTCTGCAAGAAAGATAGAGGCAAAGTGGGTTATTTTAAATGATTTTTCAATTTTTAAGGAAGGAATATATATGCCAAAAGAAGTGCTATTTAAATTTTTTTGGAAAGACCCGTCAGTGTATATATGAACGCAATCTGCCCAATCTGAAGCCAATTTAATATTGAATAATTTATTTATTATTAATGGGTCTGTACTTTTATCAGCGCCCCAATCCAAGATTACGGGGATTTTGGATATTTGTGTGAAGTAATCAAAGCAAAATATGGGTATTCTAATAGTTGTGGAAAGCATGTCAATCTTATCCTCATATATCTCCAATGATTTAAATAAACAATGTTTTTTTAAATATTTTGATTTGGTATTTTTAAGGACTTTGTCTCTAATTTTAAGAAGCCCCGTGATAACAGGATCATTTTCCCTAATTAGCCTTTTTAGTAAGAATTTATCCGATAGAAATTGCCTTCTTAGATTTAGCGGAGGGTCTCCAGCTTCAATTTGGAGGGAATTGGTGGGAGAGGACTTCATCAATCCCATACATGTTCTCAGAGCTTAATGTTGAATCCTATCTAACTTTGTCAAAAGAGCTTTTCTGCATGAATTGAACAGGAAACACCCATATTCCATTCTGGATCTTATGAGTCCCCTGTACATTGTCAGTAGTGTTTTCGGGTCTCCACCCCAAGACACCCTAGTCAAACTTTTTATTGTATTTAGAACTCTGGTGCAGGTGTCACTTAATTTATTTATGTGTGTTGACCAACTAAGATCATTCTCAAGATACATCCCCAGGAACTTGTATGCTTTTACGAACTCTATCTGGCATTCATTTATTCTGATAGTTGGAGAAGGAATTTTTGATTTTGAAAAGAGGATTGCCTTAGATTTTTCCGGACTCAATGATAAACCCAATTTCATTAGCCATATATTTAGAGCTTCCAATGAATAGTTAATGTAGAATTTAGAGAGAGAAGTATCATTATTACTATAGTAATATATACTATAGTATATATTACAATGTCATCAGCATATTGGAGAATTTTGCACTTTATATTAATGGGGGAGTCTATTCCTCTGGTATAGATGTTAAATAATGTGGGGCTAAGGACCGACCCTTGTGGGAGGCCCTTATATGAAACTCTCTTTATTCTAGTGCCATCATTGTTAGTTACAAATATAGTTTTTTTAAATGTAAGAGTCCATATAAGTTTTACAAAAATTGGGGGAAGATCCAGATCAATTAGTGTTTTAACCAACTTATCAGGGAGGACGTTGTCATAGGCTGATGATATATCTAAGAATATTGCCAAGGTGTGGGATTTCTTATCAAGGAAGCTCGACAGAATATCTGTTGTAAGGATGGAGATGTTGTCCATAGTCCATAGGTAGGTTAATATATTATAACAAAAAATATCATCTAATTTTGAAATTTTACGGTTAGAAAATAAGTATTTTGGATTATTTGGAAGAGTGTGTTAATATGGTCATATAAATATAGATATACTAAATAATTGTTGAATATGGTTTAAATTAAATTAAAGCTTTTATACTCCTAACAACAAAACTTGTGCATACCTCTCGGGATCCCTACTTTAAGTTGGATTATAAGGAAACAAACAATTTTTAGAGATACATGCAATGTAAAAATATTTAATACTCCCATACATGTGATTTTTGAAATTTTTAAAAGTTATAATGATTTTTCGATAAATATAAAATTCAGTTGAAGCTTTATACGTAATTGTTTTGACAAAACTTTATGTAGGTATACTTTAAGCTGGATAAGAAAGATTACTACAAGTAAAAATATTAGATAGAGTATACTGTGGTTTTATTTAAATTTTAGAATTTATAAGGTTATTTATACCTAATGATTGTTCGATGTAGATAAAATTTTGTCGAAGCTTTTATAGGTACTTGTATTGACACTATGGGTATATTAGCTGACAGTGTAAGGAACATAATAAATGCCGTTTAGTTAAAACTATTTTATGGATAAAACCAGATATAATATATTAACATATTATGTAGACCAAATGCACAAAAATTTTACTTATTTGGCACTATACACTTAAGAATTTCATTAAATGCAGTATTTATACTCCTAAACTCTTAAACCAACCATTGTTACTGTGATACTATAAAGATTTATAAACTTTTAACGCTTAAACATAAACGGTAACAGTTTAAATATTATTTCTTTCATTGACTATACTTTGACAGATACATAACCTGAAAAGCCTTAAATGACAAATTTTCAAAAGACTGCGTTCCGTACCTGGTCACGTGGTGGGACTTTGAAGTGTGGAGCATAGTACCTTTTTATATTAAAAATTTCAAAGGTTATGTTGAAAAAATTATCGATATAATAAATATAATAAGTCAAAATAAAATAGTTAGCACTAAAAATATTAAATTATTCAAATAAATCTAAACTGGAGGTGTAAAGGTTTTTTTTCACGTCTTATCTATAAATATAATAGAATATTATACGAGAGATAATGCAGGCTAATTCACGATGATGAGGTTTGCGTTTCGAATCGCCAGAAGAGAGGCTTAAATTATCCTAGTGAATAATGCGCATAATCTCGAGTTTAATACTATACTTTATCTACTCCAATAAGTAGATAATTAATGGATTTTTAAAAATAAATAATTAAAATATGACATCTGTCAAATGGTTAATCTCACTTTTTGCCAATTTTAAATTTTATTGTAGTCGCCTTCTTCCAATTTAAAACCTGATTGGTTCAAATCACAGTGAATATTGAAATCTGCCAATCACTGATGCCTAACAACATGAATAATGGGTTCGTTATTCCCGTTTTTAGGCAGGGAATTTATAATGTTCATCATTATTCAATAGGAGTAAATAAACATACATGAATAATTATCGATTAATTTTTTTTTGTGTTGTGTAAGACCACATGTATTTTTTTATACTTAAAATAACCCCCCCAATAACCTGGTATACCGTTAGTGCGCCATTTTACATACACTCTGTATAATATACTTTGCTACTACTAATATTTTTTTTAGATAAGGTACAATAAGAAAAAGCGTGGTCCATACAAAGAGGCTATCAAACAGGCCTCGTTGGAGGCAAAAGAAAACGCAGAAAACAGGGTAAGACAGCCTCTGGGGAACTCGCCATCCCCCAATATTATACCACAAGTTGTTCCGCCCGCGCTTGCATCGCCCAGAGAAATCGACGTCGTTTCTTAAAAACGTTTGTATATTTTTCATATACAGTCCCTGGCCAATTTATTAGACACGGTCAGAAATTTTCTTTGATTATGTCGATATATTCTTAAAAAATGCTTTTTTGAACTACAAAATTTTATGAATGAAATCGCGTTAAAAGCGCTTTTTAGGATGATAAAACACATTTTTACGTCAGTCGAAATTAAAAAAGTGATACTTACACCATTGATCTTAATCAATGCTCATACCAGAGACATTGTCTCTGGCTTATACTGTATAATTTATACATATTGTGTTAAATATTTTTAAACAAAACAACATTTTGGGCTTCTTTAAAACTTTTTGGAATACTACATTTTTAGATATCTAATATGATATCTAGATAGATTTTATCCAACCATTTAAGGTTTTTTTTATGACACAAGTATTTTAGGTAATTTCAATTTTAATCTAAAAACGTGTTTATAGTCTTAAAATCGTTTCTAACGCGATTTTGTTCATAAAATCACTTTTTAGTTTAAAACTGCATTTTTGTAAGAAGATATCGACTATTTTACAAATAACCAAAATTTAAGAAAATTTGTGAGCGAATCCAATAAATTGACCAAGGTAATGTATGTTTTAGTGATATTAGGTTTTTTAAGCTAGTGATTGTAACTACCTACTAAAAATGACTGTTAAAAAATTTTAGAGTTACTATTTTATTTCTGAAAAAAAAAGGTTTTGTTAATTTATGAAGTAAATAATGCTTTTAAACTACTATTAACTATTTTACGTTAAACAGTTGGGTTAGTCAGGTTATTTTTTAGCTTATATTATTAATTTTGTTCAAAAGCCATACATGTTGTGTAACTTATATTAACCCTTTTATGATTATTTGTTATACAATTTTTAAAGCACTACAAGTAAGTCTAAAACTACCTCTTATATTATACCTGTAAATTAAACAAAGGAATTTAACAAAGTAGAATTTTTTTTTATTTTAATTGTTTTTTAATTTGTACATGTGTTTTTGATTTTGTAAGATATTTTAGTGCAATGGGAATGGTACCAAAAATATAAATCATTAGTTTTTCACGCAAACTATTCCTTATATAAATACAATATTTTAATTGTACATAATATAAAAACACATTTTATGTTTATTCTGAATTTAATATTAATAAAAAAATTGTACATAACATTTTGTGATAATTTAAATCTGTTTAAGCTTGCTTATTGTAAGAACAATAATTTTTATTTTTTTATATTCACAATAAAGGGTCAGAATTCGTGAAATCAGCAAGATCAAAATTGATCATTGTTTTTTGTCGAAATGTTGAAAAAACTTTTCTATTTGACCATAAAAATTAATCTACCAAAACATTTTATTTTATTTTTTAGCAAAGTTATTGTTAAATGCAATATATGGAAACTTTTCAAACAAAATCTAGTTATTCTTGAACCAATAAATAGATTTTGATGAAACCTATCAGCATATCAAAAGTAATAAAATTGTTTTAAAGTTAAAAAAAAAAAATCATCACAATTTAACTTTTGTCTTCAGGGCCTTTTAAAAATCTGAAAAAAATGTCACGTAACGGCCATTTCCAGCATACGGACGGGACAAATCACAAAACTGTTTTTATAAAAAAATTTCAGGTAATTTATTATATATTATTTTTGCATCAAAATTGTCAAATATATTCTTCTTTTATTATGCTATACATTAAATTAAAAAACGCAAGAAGCAGGTGTGGGCGGGACAAGATAAATCTTTTTTTTCCGTCCACACCTTTTAATTATTAAAATTATCTCTACTTTTATAAAATATTTCTTGTTTTTTTTTTAATTAACGTATAGCCTAATAAAAGAAGAATATTTTTAACAATTTTTACAAAATAAGTATTATACAATAAATTTTCTACAACTTTTTTTTATAAAAACAGTTTTGTAATTCGTGCGTTTCGCGCGCTTGAAAAGGCCGTTAACGAGAAAACTTCCGAGCGGAAATTATTACAATTTTGCTGCCCAGGGTGATATACTAGCGCGCAAGTTTTCAAAAGTGCATTTACTTTATTACTTTAAGACATTTTTTTTAGTAAAGAGTTCATCATCCCTGATTTAAATAAAAAATGTGCTCTCGGAAAACGTGCGCCCCTTGATGTGTTAGGGCAACTGGTATACCATGCTGCCCAGCATTATTTTAATAATTCCTACGGTAATCGCCGCTCGGATTTTTTCTCGACGGATTTCGATTTTTTTTAAGTTTGTTGTGAAGTGAAATTTTTTTCACTTTTATAAAAGGTCCAGAACACAAAAAAAACAATTGCTTATAAAAATTTGATGAATTATTGAAAAGAAATTAATTTTTTGAAAATTTTATAGAACAATTTTCCATAGTCCATTTATTTAGATATGCCAAAGTTTTATTAAAATTGATTTATCTGCTCAAGAATAACCAGATGTTGTTTGAAAAGTTACCAAAAACTTCACTTGACAATAATTTTGCTAAAAAATAAAATGTTTTGGCCAATTAATTTGTATCAATCAAGTAGAAGAAAGTGTATTGATGTTATATTTATTTTTAAACTTTTGAATTCTCAAATTAATTCTCCAGAATTACTTGAGAAGATTAATTTTAGAATACCACAACATCGCACACGACAAAGCAACATGTTTTATGTTAATTTTCATATCAATGGTTACTCCCACAACATGCCTCTTTCTAGATGTTGCCGTCTTGCGAATGAGACAAATTTGGATCTAAATTATTTAACACTAGCGCAAGTTCGTTCAGCTCTTAACCAAATTTTTTTGTAAACCAAATGTTTTTGAAGAAATTCTATCTGAAATTACCACTTATTTAATAACTGTATTTATTGTGAATTGTAATGTATAATGTATATTGTATATTGTATGCTCATATCCTATCTGTAACTGACTTTGTCGTAAATAAAGTATTATTATTATTATCATCAAATAAAATAGTTTTTTCCCATTTTGACAAAAAAACAATGATAGTCATTTTTATTACAATTGCACTTGAATGCTGATTTCACAAATTCTGACCCTATAGCTAATTTTTATTCATAAATGCCTTTGTAAATCGTTGTAAATAGCTCTTTTAATACTGAACTTCCAAACTTGCCAGTAAGTTTTGTGAATTAATATTATTAAGAAATATTTGCAAAGTTTGGGAAAGTATAGAAACTTCTTTCCAAAAAATTAAATAGGTCATAAAAAGTGCGCAGTACTTTTTGGTTGGATCAATATAAAAATGATTGTAATTATTGTATTTAGGCTAAATACTGTAGATAAGGGGCACTCACTCACTATACGCCCTGCAAAGACAAACCCAATATTAAAAAAAATAAAAATTATCTTTTGTCTGTTATTACTTAATATTGCAGATATAGGGGTTTAGCTTAGTATGGCACTATACTGGAAGGGATAGAGAATGGCTTCTCATATTTAGCTGTATGTTATACAATAATATATCTGTGATTTTATTCTTTTAGGAATTGTAAGATTAATATATCATTTAAATTAAAATATTTTTTAATTTATTATGGTTTTCCCCAAACAAATTAAAGTTGCTTATAAATACTTATTTAAGTTATGTTTTTCTTAAATAAACAGAATTTAAAATGAACACAACTGATTTAACCCAAGCAACAATTTAAGTATTTGTTACGTATATGGGACTATTGAAGAAACTTTAAAGTGTTTTGCGACAGTCGCCGGTCTCTTTATATTACTCTTTTATTACCAAGTTACGACTAAAGTGGGGAACAATTATTGAGTTCCAAAAAGGTAGCAAATATGTAACTAGCTATAAACCCTGCTACTATTTGGAACGTAGCTGCTAGGTTACTAGAACGTTCCAGTATCGTTGCTACAGCGTTATAATTACTTTTATTTATTTGTTCTTCTATATTAACTGTCATTGTCAAACTTATATTAGATTATACTATCCCTCCTTTTTTAAATTGAACCACTACGGACTTGGCTTTTCAATGTCGTCGTTTATTAAATATGTACTGGTAGTTTATAACTTCCAGAATAACAATATAATGTTTAATTAGGCAGGTAAATTTATAAACCCTTTAAATTTTACTGTTGAACTTATGAATTTAGTTTTTGTAAAATAAATGCGCTTCATCAATATTTAAGTATAAACAAATTATTTATTTAATAATGTTTATAAATAAAAAAAAAATAATATTTATTATTAATTTTTTGATTTCATTATTAATACCGTCTATTGCCAACAAAATTACTATTTATTAAAAAGTAAACAACCATTTACAAACAATTAAAATAATTTATTATTTACATTACCACGTGGTACTGTACAGTAAAAAATGGCCGATAAGAAGCATTTTCCTTTGAAGTAGTTTTCGCTACTTTAAAGTTTTTTCCACTTTACGGTTGTTTTGGTTAGTACCATAACCCAGATAGCACAAAGGTATACTATGGACGTCCAATGGACGTTGCTCGTGGACGTCTGTATGTACATAGGATGTCCATTTTTTTCTATGGACGTCCCATGGACATCCGTTTAGAGTCCAGATGTCACAACTTTGGACATCCATAAGTCGTCCACCGATGGACGTCTATAAGGTGTTTAAACCATTCCTCCAGCATCCAGGACCTGCTTTTTTGCTTACTTTAACTGTTTTTTGCGACTGTATTTTCATTGCGATGTTGCAGAAAATTTTCTACAACATGACTGAAAGGCGCCTTTTGTCTGGCTCAGTAACAATCCCACTAGGAATATAAATATTCTAAAAGTTGTTAAAAGTTACAACATTCAATGTTAAACATTTCAGGAAATCCTTGTATTCGAATATTACATTTGCAATAGAGGTGGAGAACTATCGATGGCAACTATCGGACTATCGATAGTTTAACCACTATCGCCATCTATCGATAGTCAGAGGAATTTGAACGATAGTCACCGAAAATCGCCCGCTAAAAATTCATCGCCTTAAAGTTTCTAATTTTAATATATCATATTAAATATAATTAAAAATAAAAATATTAAAAAAATAAGTAGAAAGTCACTAAATTTTAATTATGAAAGCATCCTTTTTTACCGACTACATGACATTTGCTGTGCCAAATAGTTATCTATATAATTTAAAGTCCGTTTGTGCGAGCATAACACAGAGGTTTTCTATGGGTATATGCGTGCAAGGGGTTCCCAAAAGTGTTCGTGATACTCGACCTGTGATTTATTTTTGTTTATTATTCCCCCAATATTAAAT